TCTCAAAAATTGCTAACACAGTATTTTGGGAGCAATTGATGGAATTGTAACTGAAATGTCTAAGCAGAGATGCAGTACTGGAGATACTAATTTGTGCCAAGAAATTTTCAATACAACTACCTGGTCAACCCACTATAAATGAGCCAAAGGAAGACGAAATTACAGAAGTTTCATTTATATCACATAACAATAAAATCTTGTTGAAGGTACTTCAGAAGTAGCCTAAGTGAAGAGCATTACATCAACTAACCCATGCAGAGCACATAACAAAGTATTTCAGCAAGAGAAACTAGTTACCACCAAGTTGGTTCTGTCAGAGTATAATTTGTGTTACTATGGTTGAATAGTACTTAATGGCACCTAACAAGAACAACAACATTAAAGAAAAGCAGAACCACAGAATCCTTCTGGTGAAGTAATTATCATCGTGAAAAAATAATGGAATTCTGGGCTAGAAAATAATTAGTAGATTACACCTGAAATTAAGGTTAATGTTATTTTCAGGCATGAAAAGGTGAAAAGGAGAGTTGGAGAGAAGGTTAATTAGTCAGAGACCACACAGCATCCTCAAAAGGCGGATTTGATTTTGAATAATTCTTACTAATAACCATAAAGACATGGCCTTCATCAGGAAAACAGATTTCTTGATACAAATGAAATCTCCCTAAAACCATTCATTCTCCTTTCCCTAATCACGCTCTTTTCTTTTTGTCTGATATATGGTGATCAAAGAAATTTTCTGACAGCTACTTCAACTCTCAAATGCATAGCTATAATTAAATTTATTAGTTATTCAATAAGGTATGTCTTTGGTTTATGCATTGGCAACCTTTTTTTAGTAGTCCTAAGTGGTTTTAGCTACTTTAAATCAGCTTCTATTAGTCTAGTTAACTTTGAGGAAAGCAAGAGGAGTTTTATGAAAATGAAGTGTGTTCCCATGCACTAGCCCATGGAGTGCCCCATTCTGTACTGTTCCAAATCCCTAGAAGGTCTCTCTATTCTCATTAGGCTTCTATCACATGACCCATCTTTAAACTCCACCCAGAGTAAAGAAACAAAATAATAGCACTTCAGATTCTTATATCGGACCAGAAGAGTAAAGAGAAAATGAAAAGCTACTGAGAAAATGGAAAAGCACTTAGAAGTAATGCCTTTAGACATGATCAGACATTCTGAGCTGAAGTAACAGGTTTAGTAGTAGCTACCAACATTGTGTTATAGCAACATCAAGCATTTACTGAACTTCTGTGATATGCATGTTGTTGTTATTATTGTTATGTGCCATCAAATCACCTGTAACTTATAGCATCCCTATGTACAACAGCCCTAAACCCTGCTCTATCTTTTTTTTAAAA